TGTCCCCCTGCTCACTAAAATCTCCCCCCCCCCCCCCCCCCGTTTTTCATGTGCACTCCTGAACGCCCCCGATCGGTGTGCAACAAGCTTACCGCCATCCACGACCTCTTTGTTTCCCGCTCCCTCAACCTCCTGGCGATTACGGAAACCTGGATCCAGGCGACTGACTCTACCTCCCCTGCTGCACTCTCCTACGGAGGTCTCACCTGGACCCACTCACCCAGGCCCAACGGTCGTAAAGGTGGTGGGGTTGGCCTCCTCCTGTCACCGCTGAGCACCTTCCGAGTCCTCCCAAACCCCCCCTCCCTATCCTTCTCCTCCTTCGAGGCCCACTGCGTCTGACTATTCTCCCCAACCCCCCTGAAGATTGCTGTGATATACCGGCCTCCTGGATCCATACCCCGCTTCCTGGAAGACTTCTCCTCCTGGCTACCCTTCTTCCTCTCCTCTGAGCTACCCACTATCATCCTTGGGGATTTCAACATCCCTGTCAACCTCGACAACCCGGACACAGCCCGTCTCCTCCATTTAACCTCCTCCTTTGCACTTGCACAGTGCATACAATCCACCACCCACTCCGACGGTAATATCCTTGATCTTGTCTTCTCCAACCGCTGCGCTCCCCACAACCTCACTAACACCCCCTTCCCTCTCTCTGACCACAACCTGATTACCTTCTCTATCTCCTCATCCTCCAATGCCTACCCCTCCAAATGTCACACTTCTACCAGCCGTAACCTCTGCAACCTTAACCCTGCCTCCCTCCACTCCGCAGCTGATCAACTCCATGACCGCATCCTCCCCCTGTCCTGCCCCGACTTGGCTATGATCACTAGCGCCTTTAACCACACGCAACATCAGACCCCGACCGCTCCAGCCCTGGCAGACTGATCACACCAAAACCCTCAAACGACACAGTCGTGCCCTGGAGCGACTATGGCGCAAAACCAAATCCCAACAAGCCTTCACCCGATACAAATCTGCCTTCCACACCTACACCTCCTCCCTCCATATACTGCCAAACAAGCCTACTTCCTGACCCTCATCAAGGCCCTCTCCTCCAATCCTCGCCGACTCTTCTCCACCTTCAACTCTCTACTCTCGCCACCCCCACCTCCACCCAGCACCTCACTCACTGCCCTTGAGATTGCCAATCACTTCAAAAACAAGATTGACACAATTCACAAGGACATTGCTGCAACTCACACGCCTTCTCAACCCGTCCCCTCTCACACAGCTACCCCCTCATCCCCCCCCCCCTCCCCTCGACATAACCCACAGGGACTTCGTCGCTGCTCAAACTCCCTCCAACCCCCTTCCCCCTCACTCAGCTACCCTCTCTACACCCCTCTCCCACGGCCCCACCACTGCTCTGACCTCCTCTCCCACCCCACCCTACTTTCCTCATACTGAAGCTCCCCCAACACTCCGCACCTTTGACCTTACTACCATCGAAGAAGTCTCCAAAATCCTCTCTGATGCCTGCCTCACCACCTGCCCCCTCGACCCTATCCCCTCACAACTCCTACAACCTCCCTCCCCCTCCATCCTACGCTCCCTCACCCACATCTTCAATCTCTCCCTCTCCTCCAGCACTTTCCCTTCCCCTCTGAAACATGCACACATCACCCCCATACTTAAAAAGCCCTCCCTGGACCCCAATGACCCGAACAACCTCAGACCCATCTCCCTGCTCCCATTTACATCTAAACTCCTCGAGCGCCTAGTCTATGCCCGCCTATGCTCTCACCTCAACGACAACAACCTCCTCAATCCCCTACAGTCCGGCTTCCGTCCCCTACACTCCACCGAAACTGCCTTACTCAAACTCTCCAACGACCTGCTAACCGCCAAAGCTAATGGCCACTATTCAGTGCTCCTACTCCTTGACCTCTCTGCGGCCTTTGACACAGTCGACCACCCCCTCCTCCTCAAAAAAACTACACTCCCTCGGCCTCAGAGATTCTGCTCTCTCCTGGCTCTCATCCTACCTGTCACAACGCTCTTTCAGCGTTACCTATAATGCCACCACCTCCCTCTCACTCCCCCTCTCTGTTGGGGTCCCTCAAGGCTCTGTCCTCGGGCCCCTTCTCTTCTCCATCTACACCTCCTCCCTTGGCCAACTCATACACTCTCACGGCTTCAACTACCACCTCTATGCCGACGACACACAAATCTATCTCTCAACCTCCCACCTCACCCCCTCGGTCTCCGCCCGAATCACACACCTGTTGAGCAACATATCAGACTGGATGTCGCTCCACTTCCTTAAACTGAACCTCTCCAAAACCGAGTTTCTGGTCTTCCCTCCAGCCCGGACACCACCCCCCATTGACTTCTCCATCATGTCCAACAACGCCACCATCAAACCCGCCCCGCAGGCCAGAATACTTGGTGTCATTTTGGACTCCAACCTATCCTTCCAGCCCCAAGTCCACTCTTTAACAAACTCGTGCAGACTCCACCTCCGCAACATCGCCAAAATCCGCACGTTCCTAACTCCAGAAACCACTAAACAGCTCATCCACTCCCTCATCATATCACGACTCGACTACTGCAACTCCCTCCTCACTGGCCTGCCTCGCCGCTGGCTATCCCCGCTTCAGTCCATCCTGAATACGGCTGCCAGACTCATTCACCTTTCCAACCGCTCCGTTTACGCCACCCCCCTCTGCCAATCCCTCTACTGGCTTCCGATTGCGCAACGGATCAAATTCAAAATCCTAACGCTGACTTACAAAGCTGTCCACCATACTGCCCCGAACTACATCACTGACCTAATATCCAAGTACCACCCAGCACGCACACTCCGCACCTCACAAGACCTCCTTCTCTCTAGTTCCCTGGTCTCCTCCTCCCATGCCCGCCTCCAGGACTTCTCCAGGGTGTCACTCATCCTCTGGAACTCCCTGCCCCAACCCATCAGATTATCACCTACTCTCCTCTCCTTTAGGCGCACCCTGAAAACCCATCTCTTCAGGGAAGTCTACCCCGCCCCCTGCTAACTTGCCGACCTCCTCCACTCTTCCTACCACTCCATCCCCCACAGCTATCTCCTCCTGTGCCACCATCCCCTCCCTCCTAGATTGTAAGCTCGAAAGAGCAGGGCCCTCGATCCCCTCATGTTTTGCATTGTATTGGTATTGTTCTGTCACATGTTCTGTTCCCCTCTGTAATGTACAGCGCTGAGCGAACTATTGGCGCTTTATAAATACTGTATAATAATAATAAGCATAAAAAACAAATTTGGGGGGAAAAAAACTATATTTTTCACTTTTTGCTATTAAACATGTCCAGTAAAAAATCTAATTTCTTCATAAATTTAGGTTAAAATGTATTCTGCTACATGTCTTTGCTAAATAAATAAATATCCCAATACTTGTAAATTAATTGGTTTATGTGAAAGTTATAGCGTTTACAAATGGTGGTATAGATACTGGAATTTTTAATTTTTTTTTTTTTTCCCCTACTAGTAATTGCGGCAATCAACAAATTTTATCAGGACTGCAGCTGGCATTCTGACACTGTGGGGGGGGAGGAGAGAGACTAACTTGGTGCCACTGACATCCCCAGTGACACCAATACAGTGATCAGTGCTAAAAAAAACCACACTGACACTGGTTTATGAGGGGCGATCAAAGGGTTAACTGTGTAGGGAGTGTTTTACTAGGGCGAGAGGTGTGTGCTTCACTGTAAGCATACTGATCTGGATGGCTGTGCACAGCCATCCCAGGCAGTGTGCCCGAGCCGACAGGGAGGGAGACTGTAAACAAAACAGTCTTCCTCCCCATCGGTGATTGTCGGTAATCACTGGGTGCCGGCAGGTAATCACCGGTCGGGACCCAGTGATTGACATCCACGGCTCGCGGACGCACCCTGTACCTGGAAATGCAAAATTGTGTACAAATAAATACACACACACTCCCCCTCTGTGACTCCCAACTTTAGAGGCTGTTGCTCCCAGCCAGCTTTTACATCAATATTATGTCTTGCAGTTCACATTATGTTCAAGCTCAGTAAGTCTTAGGGCTCGTTCACACTTGGCTGTTTTGCCAACGCTTGCCAAACGCCCCTATAGCGTTTGGCAAGCGTTGGTCCGGCGTTTGCTGAGCGTTTTTTAACGCTCCGCATGCGCGGTTTAGCGGCAGTTGCTAGGCATTTGCCGAGCGTTAATAACGCCCCACAAACGCCTATAATACAGTTTGAGTGGTGTTACCGCTCCGCAAACGCCCCGCAACCGCGTCGCAACCGCATCGCAAACTCCGGCCGGGCGTTTGCGGAGCGGCACCATAGACGAGAATAGGAGGCTTCAACGCCTCCTGACTCGTCCAGAGGCGTCCGTTTTGCCGCGACGCAAACGCTCCCGTTAGAACAGCACCATGTGCTGTAATGTGCAGAATTGGCAGAGGCGTTTGGGAAGCGGTAAAAACGCTTCCCAAACGCCTCTCTGCCGCCTGCACACAAGGCTAGTGTGAACGTAGCCTTATAGCATTATCTAATGCCAGAAATGTAATTCATCGACCCATAAATTCATACTGAAACCCAAAAGGTTTACCTTCAGTTGGAATTATTTGCAGTCGTTGTTGGTTTCAGACAGATTGTGATAATATCCAACTAAATTCTGGTAAAACAGACTGTTGGGATATGCGAGCCCTCATTGTATTGGTAAACTACTTTCTCCTAAACACTGGAAGCAACTGGAGCAGCATTTGCAAAAATGTAGTGTGTTCAATTAAAAAAGGTTTATTCAGCAAAACGGAACAAAATACAGTAATTTATGGAGATCAACTGGATATCTTGGTGATCAAGTTCCTGTGAATTGTAAATTTGAACCACCTCCTTGGGGTTTGGATCCCAGCATGTAACATGTGTTGTATGGTTAAGAAAAAATATTTATTTTTTTTCCCCCTTATCTTCTGATCTTTAGTTTGGTTTATTTTCCTAATCCACAGAAAGATTTCCGGGTGCAGGAACTCCCACTGGCTCGCATAAAGAAGATCATGAAACTTGATGAAGATGTTAAGGTAATTTTTTTCAAAATTTGTTCCATGTACTGCACTACTGGTCTTTTTATCCAGACTCCGTCTTTTTTTTATATCAAATGTGGACATTGGTTCTTAAAGTGATTCTAAAGATTAAATTTAAAAAAAAAAAATTATATATATTTACCTGCTCTGTGCAATAATTTAGTACAACAGCCCTGATCCTCTTCTTTTTGGGCCCCCCGCTGGCAGTCTTGTCTCTTCCCCCCTGCCAAGTGCCCACAATAGTAAGCCTCTTGCTATGGAGGCACTTGATCAGGTTTGCTCCCAAGCCGCACTCCTTTGAATTGATGTCCATTCACACACGCAGCTTGGCTCGGCTCTGCCCCCGCTCTCTCCTCATTGGCTCACTGGCTGTGATTGACAGCAGCTAGAGCCAATGGCTCTCTCTCGTCATTGGTTCACAGCATCGAGAGACCAAGGAGAGCCGAGGATCTCATGCACATCACTGGATTGAGATGGGGCTCAGGTAAGTAGGAGGGAGCTGCACCCAGAAGGTTTTTTTTTTACTGGCATGCATAGAATGCATGAAGGTTAAAAAAAAAAAAAAAAAAAAATCCCTGCCTTTAGTGCCACTTTAACCTTCCTGGCTTTGATAGTACCTGTAAAGTTGCCTTCAGAAAGTGGCCAGTAACAAGTGGCACACATACCAATCGCTCACAAGTGATTGATGCAGAAACATACACGTTTGCATTATGCATGTTTTTGCTGGTGAAGGTAGGGGAACACAATGGTTGTTGGCCCTTGGTGGGAAAAAACGATCGTAAACCGCTAAATGGGGGTGAACATATATTCTGTAGCTTAGGTTTGGAAGGTGTGATGAATGGAAGAACCCAGCCAAAAGGACAGGGTTGTAATATTGGTCAAATTTGTGCATTTTTAGACAGCATTCTGTATACTGTACAGCAGTGGAACAATGTGGGTGTATAATTCCACAGCATACCATTCTATACATTGTGCTGTAAATTACACATTTGCAATACACAGAGGTTGATTTACTAAACTGGAGAGTGTAAAATCTGGTGCAGCTCTGCATAGAAACAAATCCATTTTTTTTTTTTTTTTTTTTTTTTTTGTCAAAGCCCAATTGAACAAGCTTAAGTTAGAAGCTGATTGGCTACCATGCACATCTGCGCTAGATTTAGCACTCCAATTTTAGTAAATCAGCCCCACAGTATTTTGGCCAGATCTGGACAATGGTATGGGTTGTAGGGGTATGTTCACACCAGCCACTGTGTTACAATGCAGCAGCTGGTATGCAGTCCTGCTGGATCATCCCCTGTTTTACAATGCAGCATAACACAGTGAAATTAATATGTGCATACCTTCCATTTTTCGGTTTTACAGTACTGACAGGAATAAAAAAAAAAAAATGTTTTCTAATGTGTAATGTATCGACAAATATTTAGAATATTTTGGCTGTTTATTAATGCTGCATAGTCTACAAATATTGAAATAGATTCTGAGAAATGTTCTTGGTTTACCAATAGATGATCAGTGCAGAAGCTCCAGTTCTTTTTGCCAAAGCTGCTCAGATTTTTATAACAGAGTTGACGCTGCGTGCCTGGATTCACACAGAGGATAACAAAAGAAGAACGTTGCAGGTAATGCACCAGTAAAGCCAAACTTGGGAGATTTCGTGAAAAGCACAGCTCTTTTCTCGTATATATTTAACCACTTGCCCTCCTGAAGATTTTCCCCCCTTCCTGACCAGGCCATTTTTTGCGTTACGGCGCTGCGTTACTTGAACTGACAATTGCGCAGTCATGCAATGCTGCACCCAAATTAAATTTGCGTCCTTTTTTTTTTTCCCCACGAATTGAGCTTTCTTTCAGTGGTATCTGATTTGACTGCCTGTGCTTTTTTTTTTTTTTTTTTTTTTTTTTTTTTTTTGCGCTAGAAAAAAAGACCGACAATTTTGAGGGAAAAAAAAAAACAATATTTTTGAATTTGCTACTAAACATGTCCAGTAAAAAAATTTAAAAAATACAATTTCTAAATAAATTTAGTCCAAAATGTATTCTGCTACATCTTTGCTAAAAAAAAAAAAAATCCTGATATGTGTAAATTAATCGGTTTACGTGAAAGTTGTAGCATTTTACAAATGGCGGTATATATACTGGAATTGTTTTTTTTTTTTTATTACTAGTAATGGTGGCGATCAGTGACTTAGAGCTGGACTGCAGCGGGTATTCTGACTCTGGGGGGAACTGATATCCCCAGTGACACCAATACAGTGATCAGTGCTAAAAAAAAAAAAGCCCTGACGCTGTACTAATGGCACTGGGCAGGAAGGGGTTAACATGAGGGACGATCAAGGGGGTTAACGGTGTTCTGGGAGTGTTTTACTGGGGGGTGGTGTTTTCGTGCTTCACTGTAAGCACACTGTTGTGCACCGCCATCCAGAGCAGTGTGCCGGAGCTAACAGAGAGGAGGACTGTTAGTAAACAAAGCAGCCCCTCTCCCCGTCACAGATTCTCGGTAATCGCCAGACATCGGCGGGCAATCACTGGCCAGGACCCGGTGACTGACAGCTGCGAGTGCGAATGGCGGCGCAGGTACGGCGCTCGTGTGCGCCCCCTAACCAGGAACACAGAATCCCATGTGTATGTATGTATGTATAATATATATATATATATATATATATATATATATATATATATATATATGTGTGTGTGTGATTTTGCGCACCCCTGCCGCCCTGTAGCAGTATATCTGCAATAGGGCGGTCGGGATGTGGTTAGTAAACTAAACTCAACAATGTCAACAACAAAAAATAGGCGGCAGTGATGAAGTGACATGGATAGGAAGCTCTGATGTGTTGGCATTGGTGGGCATTGAGGAGGCACTGATGATGTTGCACTGGTATGCAGCAATAATGGGCACTGACAGGCGGCACTGGTGGGTGGCACTGCTGGTCAATGCCCTGATCATCAGTGCGGATGTCCTCTGTGATGTTTGCCAGTTATCAGCTGTACTCTCCTAATGCTGTGACAGCGTGAGGAAAGTGCTGCTGACAACTGTATTTACTATGTGATTTGCTGAGTCGTTGGACACAGCTGATCACATGGTAAAAGGCTACTGTAATTGGCCTTTTACCTATTAATGTGAACAGCTGTATCCGTAAGACACAGCGATCACTGACAGCGACGGGCGCACGCGTTCTGGGAGGACGTCATATGACGCCCTCCCAGAACTGGACAACTGCGCTGTAGCTGTCATTTGGCTACAGCACGGTTGTAAAGTGGTTAAAGTGACATTTGATGAAATGTTTGTGTGCATTAAATCAACTTTTGTGAATTTTTTTACTGAAAATTTTGTTATCTGCGTGCTCTAATTTTCTGTGACATAAACAGTTGCAACAAGTACCATTTTATTCCCCAGGGTCCTGTTGGGTTTTTCCCCAGAAAATGTTTGGAAGGTTTAGTAATTTTCAAATGTGCAGATGCACATTTAAATGTGTCCAGAAATTGAAGATGTGGTTAGAGTATATCTCTAGCCAAAAAAAATTACTTGTGTGTATGTCAGTTGTCTGTTTATGGTCAATGTCCCATTGATTAGCCTAGCCTTCAGAGACACAACAGACAATAAGTAATCTTCCCAAGGTGAGGGGAAATCCCCCTGTAGCAGGGAAAGGACAAGAATACAAATTTAATTCTTCCAATAAAAAAAAAAGACTTGTCTAAAGACACACTTTGATGAAAATATCAGTGAGGCTTACTTTTTTGCCACAACAACCTTTTGCACAGCCTCTCTATCCACTTGCCTACTGGGCACTTATACCCTCTTCGTGTCCAGTCCAATTTTCATCTTTCAGCGCTGTCGCACTTTTACAATTGCACAGTCATGCAACACTGTACCCATATGACATTTTTATCATTCTTTTTCACACACATAGAGCTTTCTTTTGATGGTATCGCCACTGGGTTATTTTTCGCACTATAAGCAAAAAAAAAAGCAAAATAATTTGCAAAATTTTATAATTAAAAAAAAGTTGTTTCTAACAGAAATTTTTTTCTCCTTCACTGTTGTGCGTTGATGAGGCTGCACGGATGAGATGGCACGGATAGGCGGCACTGATGATGATGATGCTGCACTGATATGCAGCAATGATGGGCACTGATAGGTGGTACTGATGGGCTGCGCTGGCAGAACTGACTGATAACACTGCTGGGTGGCACTTCTGCAGGGCACTGATCATCGGTGCCCTGATAATCCGCGCCGATCTGCTCTGTGACCTCTGCCAGTTATCGGCAGTACTTTCACAGCGTGAGGCAAGTGCTGCCGATAACCAGCTACTGTATTTACTCCGTGATCTGCTGTGTAATTGGACACAGCTGATCACGTGGTAAAAGGCCGCTGTGATTGGCCTTTTACTTCATCACGGAGATCGCGGGGCATGTGGGAGGGCGCGTTCTGGGAGGACGTCATATGACGCCCTCCCAGAAGTTGATAACCGCGCTGTAGCCGTCATTCGGCTATACCGCAGTTAGCAAGTAGCTATACAAAGTATAAAATCATGCTTTGAAGAATTTATGTTTAGGTGCCATTGACCTTATTTTAGGCCTCATCTTACATTTATAAATCTGTGATCTAATGTATGCTGTTTTTTATTGTTTTGGTTTTTTTTTTTTTTTTTTCTTTTCTTTTGCATTGCAGAGGAATGATATAGCCATGGCGATCACCAAGTTTGACCAGTTTGATTTCCTCATTGACATTGTTCCTCGTGATGAGTTAAAGCCTCCAAAACGTCAGGTGAGTATCTCACAAGTTAGTAATAGTGAAGTTGTTTCTTTACAGTATTTATAATGTTGCAGCTTTATTAGGTGCACCTGTTTTGTTAATGCAAATACAGTGGCTACAGTTCAACACAGTATGCAGGTATATTTAGGTGATTTCATTTTTGTTTGATTAAAACAATAATTTAATGTGAAAGATGCATGATCTAAGTGACCTGACTTTAGAACAATTTGCAAAATTCAAGCCTTCACTGACCTCTAGCTGCAGGATATATGGAGCAATTTCTTACTAGACCTGTGTTGCTGCAAGCACTGTGGAGCAATTTATCCTCAGTCATAGCAGAGGCACTGATATCACAGCTTGTCTTCCCTGGCTCCCATTAGCAACATTGAGAGTGTGCTTGCCTTCCAATGTAGACGAATAGCAGGTACAGTAAACTTCTCATAAATGGTTGTAACCTAACCACAGCGTTAATGTTGTGATATTGGAGTGCCTGCAGCTACAGACTTCAGTGTGGGGTTTTTTGTTTTTGTTTTTTTTTTAATTTACTGCTTTTTAAGAATATTGGGCCATAGCCTGGCCACACGCTCACATTTTTAAGAGAGGTTTCCTAAAGGCACTGGATGATTATCTTCTACAATATCACTAAATAAATAGTTAGCTGTATGTTGAATCCTACAGCTCTCACTTTACCATATTTTATACCATTTTCTATGTCATTCTATTATTTCTTATACCTTCTTTTAAGATACTAAAACTTGCTAATTTATCAGTGAGAGTTCTCCTTTTACTTGGGTCAATGTGTGGTTTGTTTTATGGACCTTTTATAATGCATAACTAATGAAACTGATATCTGTCGGAGTATCAAATTCAGTATATTTTAGTGTGTACTCCTGAAAGTGTAGCTTTGTGTCTCTTGGTAAATCTATCTTCTAAAACCACATTCTCAGCCAAAGAAGTGAGAGAATGTTTGTTTCTAAGAGTGCTGCTTAACTGATTCTAAGTAGAGCATGTAAAGTGGTCCTAGTAAGCCATTTGGGTCAAGTGAATAGCCTTTTTTAGGACATTGGTATTTGTCAAAAAACAAATCTGCAGGCAGTTTCAGCTGCTGTAAACATCCTTGACTGGAAGCTGTGCGACTGAAAGGAGCTTTCAGTCGGATGTTTACAGCTGTTGGCTGCTACACTCTTCTGTGACAATCCTCATTGGAGAAGGCATTGTGTTCACTTATTAGGTAAATGTATGGTTGCCTGCAATTTAACACAGTGGAATTTATGGGAGCCACACCTTGATTTAATCTACATATACAGTTGTGTACAAAATAATAGCAGTCAGACATCACTAACCTTAGCAATCACTGTTTTTGGTAGAAATAATATTTCTACATGGCAAATAATTTACTAGCAGGTGTAGTAGAGTAATAGAAATCCAACAGACCCAACACTCATCACATGCATGCTGATGATTCTATGTAATTGAATCACTAATTGAAAGGGGCATGTTCAAAATAATAGCAGTGTGGAGTTCTATTAGTGAGGTCATTCATTCTTTGAAAAACAGGTGGCAATTATTGCCCTTTATTTAAGGAAGGAAGGCAGCAAATGTTGTACATGCTGGTTACAGTGCATTTCTCTCTGAAATCCTGAGGAAAATGGGTTGTTTTAGACATTGTTCAGAAGAACAGCGTACCTTGATTAAAAAGTTGATTGGAGAGAGGAAAGCATATAAAGAAGTGCAGAAAATGATAGGCTGCTCACCTAAAATGATCACAAATGTTTTAGAATGGCAACCAAAACCTGAAAGACGTGAAGAAAGCAAAAAACTACCATTCAAATGGATAGAAGAATAGCCAAAATGGCAAGGACTCGGCCAACAATCAGCTCCAGGAAGATCAAAGAAGGTCTAAAATTACCTGTGAGTACTGTTACAATTAGAAGATGCCTATATGAAGCCAAGCTATCTGCAAGAAGCCCCCGCAAAGTCCCACTGTTGAAAAAAAGACGTGCTGAAGAGGTTAAAATTTGCCAAAGAGCACATTGACTGGCCTAAAGAGAAATGGCGCAACATTTTGTGGACTGATGAAAGTAACATTGTTCTTTTTGGGTCTAGTGGCCGGAGACAGTTTGTCAGACGACCCCCAAACACTGAATTCAAGCCACAGTACACTGTGAAGACAGTGAAGCATGGTTGCGCAAGCATCATGTAATGGGGATGTTTCTCATACTACGGTGTTGGGCCTATTTATTGCATACCAGGGATCATGGATCAGTTTGAATACATCAGAATACTTGAAGAGGTCATGCTGCCTTATGCTGAAGAGGAAATGCCCTTGAAATGGGTGTTCCAACAAGACAACAACCCCAAACACACCAGTAAACGTGCAACATCTTGGTTCCAGACCAACAAGATTGACGTTATGGAGTAGCCAGCCCAATCCCCGGATCTTAATCCAATAGAAAACTTGTGGGGTGACATCAAAAATGCAATTTCTGAGACAAAACTAGGAAATAGAGAAGAACTGTGGAATGTAGTCCAATCATCCTGGGCTGGAATACCTGTTCACAGGTGCCAGAAGTTGGTTGACTCCATGCAACACAGGTGTACAGCAGTTCTCAGAAACAGTGCTTATACAACTAAATATTAATTAAGTGATTCAAAGGAAAGCAAAGTCTTCAAACATTTTTCAGTTTTTATAGTGAATGTTTGAGTTTGTAAAGAAGAATACAAACACTGCTATATTTTTGAACAGTCTAATCACTTTTCTTCAATTTTTTAGAGGAATACCCCAAATTTGATATATTTTTCTTCATGTTTTGATTTGGAATAGAATGTGTAGTGTTCCCAATGCATTTGTGTGTATGGAAATAAAAGCTATTAAGGATTTTGAGCTTTATTCACTTTTTTCAACACACTGCTATTATTTTGAACACAACTGTATGTGGCTTGTGACAGCATCTTAAAGTGGGACTTCACTCAATCAACAGTTTCTACCATTAGTAACTAAGAAAGTATATCATATCTACTTGTTTAACTTTTTTTTTTTTTTAACATTTTTTTAATTAATTCCTGGTTTCCAGGCCTAGGCAAATGATGTCACACATCCCAGGAATCCTCTAGGCATTTTTTTCTTAAATAAAATGTGATGCCCTGTATAACAAGGTAATACTAAATAGATGTATGCCACTGCAGGAAAATTGTAATTTACATCCAGATAGCTTGGAGGTTGTGAGTACTCCGTTGGTGACATTGGCACACACATTGGCGGACCATATGCAGAAGTTTATGTTGAAAAACGTATGCACTTTCTTGGGATTGTAGTACAGGCATCTGTAATAAGGGATCTGGAACACTTTTTTCTGGTGGTTGCGTCATTCTGACTTTCTGCCTTTCTTTGTTCATTCAGCTAGGCCTTTGGCCACACCTTACTCATCCTTCCTGTCTGTAGTTCATGATTTGTGACCATGTTATTCATGGGTAGTATTTCTAGTCTTGAGGTCTTGGACTGCAGGGGTCACAGCCATGCACCTTCTACCCCCCCCCCTCTGACCTAAGTCTTTGACTTTGCCTTTGAGCCCCAAATGGTACTGAAGTGGGACTACTAACCGTTTAGAAAAGGTTCTATTGTTCTTTCCTCATCTTCCAATGCTAAGACAGGAACCTACTTTTGCAAAAATACATATCTTCTCCAGCGATCCAAGGACTAATGTAGACTACAGCCGTGACCTTGTCCAAAGAGCATTCTGATCTTGTCTGCCAATTTTCAACCCATGGGATGTGGACAACAGACATACTTTCTGATCTGTGTCAGTGTCTAATATGCTCCCCATGTGGAGTGCTTTCAAGACCTTTGCCACAGGTGGGAAATCTCCTAGTGTCTTGTTTCAACAACCTTCTGGACAGGTTTGTTACCAAGTCCAGGGACCTTCAGGCCTTTGCAGTGGGTGCTCTCGTGACGCTGTGGTATCAGTCAACATGATTTATGCCTTTCTAGCCCTACAGATTCTCTTGCCAATGCCGCAAGATCAAGGGGGGCATTGGGTTTTATCCTCACACCAGATTGGCCCAGGAGGACATGGTACTCAGACTCCTGGCACCCGATGGACCCAACTAGATTTTCTTTCCCAAGGGCCAGTGCTTCATTCTTGGTTACTGGTTTTAACAGCAGGGCTGTTGTAATCAGTCCTGAGGGACAGAGGTCTTTTGGATTCGGTATTCCCTACCATGAAGACCAGAAAGTGGAGTTCTTTTAAATTCCAACATTGCAGCCTAAAGGTTTACTTTGCTTGGTGTGATTGGAGGAACTTTTATCATAGTATTCCATAAGGCATACTTTGTCCATATTCCAGATGGATCTGGGACAAGTCTCGCTTTATTCATTCTGTTTCGGACACCTTTGGCCTCTCACTCTTTAGATAAGGCCTTTTATTCTTTTGAGTAGCTCACATCTTATCCCCTATTGCGTCCCTGTTTTCCCTTGGGAAACTCAAATTAGTTCTCTATTCTCTTCATTATTCACGCTTTGAGCCTCCTACAGCAGGGGTCTCCAAACTTTGCAGTCAAAGGGCCAGTTTACTGTACCTCAGACTTTAGGGGGGCCAGACTGTGGTCAGTAAGGGTAGAAAATGTCCTGCGCCTAGCATCAGTGAGAGTAAACATGACCTCAGGGTTTGATGGTGCATAAAAAGGAAGATTCTTGCCCCATCATTGGTATTCGTGGAAGGAATAGTGCCTTGTATCAATCAGAGGAATAGTGCCCCAAGGGCTGGTTAAAGGCTGGCAAAAGGCCGCATCCAGCCCCCGGGCCACAGTTTGGATACCCCTGCTCTACAGGATATTCCCTTATCTATGCCAACCCTACTTGTACGGTGGCCTTTCCTGTGGCTATATCCTCTGAAAGGAGAGTCTATGTTGAAGACCACCTTTGTTCTCAAGATGGTCTCTGCTTTCCACCTAAATCAGGATATTGTCCTTCCTTACATCCTGCTCTGAAATATTTATTCACTACCTGGATGTAGTGTGTGCTGGGAGAACTTCTCTCTGCTACTGCTTCCTTTCAGAAATTGGGTTCTCTGGGCTCCTTGTGGGCTCCTCCTAAAGAGCTCCCTGTCTTTCTCCACCTTTTCTTAGTGGATTAGATAAGTTATCAAAGTCTTTAGTTTTAAGGAACTTTCCCAGTTAAGGCACACACTACCAGATATGTTCTTGGGCTTTTCAGCATCAGGCATTTGTATTTCAGATAAGCAAGGCTGCCACCTGGGCATCTGTGCGAGTGGTTGTTCTGGTCCTTTTGAAGGACAGGTTTAGTACAAACATGTTCATGGTGCCAAAACGCAAAGTATTTACCCTAAACTGGACCTAAAGTCTCTAAACAAGTACCCTGACATTCCTAAGTTTTTGCAGGGAATCCGCAAGATCAGTTATTGCCTCTGAGACCGGAGAAATACTTGGCGTCAGTAGCCATCCAAGATGCTCATTCCCATTTACCAGCCTCATCAGCACATCCTGTGCTTCGCAATAGGAGGAAAACACTTCCAATTTGCCACTGCCATTTGATACATCTTCTACACCTAAAATTTTCTCAGTTACTTGTACCCCTTCCTGCCCTTTTCAGAACTCAGATGCTTTATGCTTTCATTTGGATAATCATCTTTCAAAGGTCTGTTTTCCAGCCTTCCATTCACCTTGGGGCTCATTCTGGACACAACTCAGGCAAAAGCCTTCTGTTTAGTAAACCAAATCCTTTCTAAGATCTCACGCTTAGAATCTCACTGAGGGATATCTTTGTTCTTAAGATCTGAGTATTCTAGGCGTTATGGCAGCCTACGAGGCCATCCCCTTCTCTTAGTTTCATTCAGGTCCTCTCCAACGCAGTATCTCTCCTCGAACAAGCACCCTCCTTTTTATCACCAAGCTATACACTCTTCAGCCAAGCAAGGAACTCCGTAGTTTGGTACATTTCCAATCCAGCCTTGACAACAGGGAAGTTGTTTCTACCACACCCATGGAGGGTGATAACAGGTGTCAGCCTCATAGGCTGGGGATGAGTGTTCATGTCCCTCACAGTTCAAGGAATATGGTAACTCCGTAAGAGTGCCAGATGGATAAGAGAGTTCCTCTCAAAAGGATAACACTTCCTGTTAACACTCCTATGCATGCACTCCACCAGATCATTGGTTGTGTCCTTGGCATTCCAACATGAAGCCTGTTGCCCAGCTTTGCAAGACTGCCACCTGTTCTTCAGTTCATATTTTCTCTTCCTCTACTGTGTTAATGTACAAGCTTTTGCTTCTGCAGCTTTATGATCTAAGTGCCTTGCAGTAGCAGTCTAAATTGGGTCTGTTGACCTTTTATTGTTGTTGGGCCTTTTAGCACATTGTCACAGTTCTGTTTACCTGGTTTTTGCCCATCCTTCTTATTCATTGCTCAGGGACATCCCAGGGTCTGTGAATACTTAGCCTATGTCCTGTACTGTACAATTCAGTTAAGACGAATTTTGACTTGGCCTTTAAATGCCTTATCTTAAAGTACAAGGCCCAGGCTGCGCTCTTCTTCGTTTCATGTGTTACTCTGCAGTGCCTGCTAAAAAAAAAAAAAAAAAAAAAAAACCTGAGGTCTTACAGTGAGGTAGAGGGTTAAAGGGGTACCCTCTGGGGGGTTTGGGCATGTCCACTAAAGCTTTGCAGCAGCCTTTAACCCAGGGTTTATTTGGGCCTGTGTCCTGTATTGTACTCCACGATATTTAGTTTACAGGAAGTAAAAAAAAAAAAAAAAGTGGATTTTTTTGTTCATGGGGCAGAGGAGGAACCTGCTTCAAAGGTCCATGATGCAGTGTTTGTAAACATCCTACACTCTCAGCTGTGAATATATGGTGGCTGGGAGAAGGGTGTTTACTCCCACTGTCATGGAAAATCCCATAGATCAGTGGTCACCTTTTTAGAGCCAACTTTTTTAGAAGTTGACCTCATGTAGCACAGATGTGAAATAATTAAAAAATTCTGTAGAGGATTGACCAAAGCAGTTGGCTGAAATGCGGGCTGAACATGAGAGAATTTAATCTATATCCCTTGCCATCTTCTTATGTCAAACAATGCTGACACCTACAGCTGTCTGAATACACAAAAAGGTTATCTGATGAGATGTGGTCACTGTAAGGCCCAACCTTTTTTTACCCCGCTGAGCTGATAAAATTAAAAAAAAAAAAAATTTGTTTTTAATTTTAGTCCAGTTGGCTGGTGCTGACAGGACAACCCTTAGCACCAATTTCAGCTGATTCAGCAGAAATGACACTGCATAGAATGTTGGCTGGACTTTGATAGGGTCACAGAGAGACCTCTGATGTATTCTGTTCAGCATATAGTATATCAGAAACTGTAAACAAGTTGGTGGTTGAGGGTGGAGCAGTGCGCAAGGAACAGCCATTTATCAATGTAAGTACAAATGTTTCCTTTTGACAGTATATAGTTACAAACTTGCTCTTGTTTGTTACATTTTTTAAGGTTTACTCTTTTAGGTGTATGGAGAATCCTTGATGGACCACTTGATTCTATCACACCATATGTACATAAAAACTGATGGGATAACTGCGCAGATTCCCTTTGCAGAGCATGAGTTTAGTGTTGTGGAGTGAACAGGGCACATGGAGAACAATTGTTTTCTATGTGCCCTTGCAGAATAACTTGCACCTCTGCACCATGGTGTGAATGAGGCCTTAGTGTTTGCCAGTAGTTTATGTATCTATGACACTATTAGTCTCACCTTTCCTAATTGCCTCATGTCATATTTTTGTTGACTTGTGACAGCCGGGCATTTACATTTTTCAAATGTCTGTTATCTTTTTTAAAAATTCTGTTGTCTCTAGAGTCTTGAGGTTGCAGTCTCCATATTTAGGAGCCTGTGTCGCAGGTCTCCTTTATTTAAGCTGTTTGAATTTCATTCCTGTAGACGCTGTAGTGAAAACTGGCATCTTGGAATCTACAAAATGAAAACCATGTTTTTCTTATTGCAGAATACCAGTTTGGGGATGCTATTTAATACACTTGTTTTATGTAGGCTTTATTCACAATAGATGCATGGCAAAATATGTGCACATTCTCAACTATTCTTCAACATGCACATTTGTAAATGTTTGACTCAACATCACTGTTATCATTCTGGATTATTCCCCTCCCCCAAAAGTGAAGTGCTGTTTCCTGTGCTGGGAATAGAGTATCTATAGCAAATAAAACTGAGTTAATTCCTTCACTCTCCTTTTAATTTCAAATTAACAGTACTTTGTACAGTGTTTAGATTGCCTGCTGTTGCTGAAGCATAAATTAGCATTAAGCCTGCATGAAAAACATAAGCTGTGTCTAAAGTAATTTAACAAGTATCTCTTGATTAGTTAATCCTCCAGCACTGTATCTTTATATTAGTGTCTGATTGGGAAAGCAGTACATTTGGATGAAAACTATTAGTGTGTGTGTGTATATCCCATGTAAGTGTGAATATTTACAGTATGGTGGCAGAGCAAACAGGATGGAATGACCTTGAGTTAGATTAAATGAGCAGCCCATTAAACGTGTATTAAGAATTCAGAAGGATGTCTGTCTAGGGACGTGGGAATTCCAATGTCCTGGGTAGATCGGTCAGTCTCCACCCAATACTAAATTATAAGATGGGGTGTATTGTGGTATATGTTGCAGTACACGGTGTCCTGCTTTTGTCATGTAAATACACTGCCATTTACTGGACACATAATATTTAAATATTTTTTAACATTCAAAAAACGTTTAAAATACCACTGCTGGTTTTCAGTCTGTCTTAATTTTTTCCATTAAATGCTGAAGCTAAATTGATGCCTTTTTTATTTAGTTTTTACTACGTTTCCCATTGCATTGTCATGTAGGAAGAAGTCCGGCAGACAGTCACACCAGCAGAACCCGTCCAGTACTACTTTACTTTGGCCCAACAACCAGCAGCTGTGCAAGTACAAGGACAAACAACTGGTCAACAGAATTCATCCTCTACAACTACCCTGCAGCCTGGGCAGATTATAATTGCTCAGCCTCAACAAGGACAGGTTAGCCAACAATAAACACAAATGGCTACTGAAGCAGCTATTTTAACTTTGGTTGCAAGACTATGTTCTTCAGTTTCTAATTGTGCTATTTGCTCATGCCAATTGCTCTTTCTTGTTCACTTGAGAAACCTTTAATCGAATGGTGGGTACCGCCTCCAAAGGGAATCTGCTGTTAAGCTGTATAAAATAAACTCCAACAATTTTTTTCAAGGTACATATACAGTTTATAGAACGTTTGAAGTAGAAAGTATCTCAACTCTTTAAATCCCAGAATACCTTCGGGTACCCGAATTTGACAGGTACCTGCTGCCACTTCCGGGTGCGATCGGAAGCGGAAGGTGTCCTCCCTCCCTGTAGTCTTTCGGGACAAGTCCCAGAAGACTACAGGACCATTCATGAAGCTCAGCGTTACTCGCGCATGCGCAGTGGTTACCCGGCTGTGAAGCCATAAGCTGCACAGCCGGGTGCCCACACTGAAGATGTCGGTCCCCTGGAATACAGGACGGCCGGTGAAACTGGCTACTGGGGACACACCACGGGACCGAGGGACAAGTAAGTGGCTGTTTTTTTTTTAAAAGTCAGCAGCTACAGTTTTTTTGTAGCTGCTGACTTTTATTTTTTTGACAGGGTGAGTGGAACTCCGCTTTAAGATGTGTTGAACTGCAATGTATATCTATTTTAACTGTTTGAATTGTCAAGTTGAAGTCACTGATTTTCAAATGTTGTTTTTCTTGTGCAGAGTACGCCAGTAACAATGCAAGTTGGAGAAGGGCAGCAGGTCCAGATTGTCCAGGCCCAACCACAAGGGCAGGCACAGCAGGGACAGAGCGCAACAGGACAAACTATGCAGGTTATGCAGCAAATAATCACCAACACAGGAGAGAAATCCAGCAGATTCCAGTACGTACCAGATTTGGTTGCTGCCTAGATTTAGGTTAAATATACCCATAGACATAGGATGATAGGAATAACTGACATCAACACGGTCTTTCTGAAGAATAAGCAGTCACGTTCATTTCAGTGCAATTATGTATGTTTGTGTCTCCACTATTTACGATGGCATTGATTCCTGAGCATCCGTAGTCGCCCAGTAAAATCCATCAATTGGAGATTTGTTGAGCTGCGTCTGCATAAAGCCTGGTACACGTCAAAAATGTGCCAGTGCAGCAGGAACGGCCCAACTTTTGGTCTGTGTATAAAAAAGCCGCTTTAACTTGCGTGTTGAAAAACAGCATTTGATTAATGCTTGCAGATAATTTTTTTTTTTTTTTTTTTTCGGAGAAGAGGGTTTAGAACACCTGTCAGTTGTTTTTTTTCTTTTTTTTTGGGGGGGGGGGGGTTTGCTGTCAGCACCCCAGTTAGGGCAATTTACTCTCTCTAATTGTCCTGTTTACCATTATCAAAAGAAAATCCCAAATTTGTGGGTTGACACCAGAGCAATAACGGAGGGGAAACCTTTCAATGGGGACACAAGGTCTGGTAACGCCTCATGATTCCCTCTTCTTGGATGGATTTGTTCTGACTTTGTTTTGGCTGTGGGACAGGAAGTGAAGGGGAAGTCTCCCCAAAGATCACAAATGGCATAAAAAGATATAAAACCCTCCCGTGCTCTATCCAAAATGGTCTTGACTTTAGTTTAAATTCCAGGTTCATGCCTGTGGGAGCCTGTGGAAATACAATTATCTTAAAGTGGTTCTAACAGCAGAAGCTTTTTTTTTAACCCTTAATGCATTCCATGCATTAAGGTAAAACCTTCTTGGTGCAGACTCCCTCCCTAATTCCCCCCCCACCCCCTTATACTTACCTGAGCCCCTTTTTGAGCCAGCAATGTCCATGAGAGAAACAGCTCTTCTGTGTCTCCATCGGCTTTTGGCTCCTGCTGCTGTCAACAGCCAATGAGGAGAGCGCAGGGGGCAGAGCAGCGCTCTGTTAGGATGGACAATGTCCATTCACAGGAGCGAGGCTCGGAAGCGAGTCTGCTCGAGTGCCCCCCAAGAGGCTATTGGCACTTGGCAGGTAGAGGAGCCAGGATATCTACCGGAGGATCGGGGCCGCTCTGTGCAAAACCTTTGCACAAAGCAGATAAGTATAACATGTTGTGGTGTTTTTTTTTTTTTGTTTTTCTTTCTTTTTAATTAGAACCTTTTACAGTCACTTTAAAGATCTCATTAGACTATTAACTGTGCGCTGAAAGCTGGAGCCGACTGTCAGTCAAGCATCTGGGTGGATCCAGACATTATGGTCGGGATCCTTCCAGAGCCTGGAGCAGCTCTGTGAAGTCAGTTGACAGTGGCTGATTCTGGGTCACAGTAGAGCAAAAGCAAGTGCAGTTGTCTGACCCACAAGATAAATATGGCCAAAAAGCCTTGACCATACTTCTCTTAATATAAAAAAAAACACTAGCAATGGTATTATTTAATCTGTTTTTTACAAGTGCCCAAAAAGCTGTTTATCCTGTTAGAAGTCTTGTGAGCTGATAATTTCCTGTACTCTCTGCCTCCTAAACTGTTATCAATTAGCCTTGTTCCTTGGTATCACTTTTGAGCCCAAAACACCTGCCCTACACCTACCCTCTTATGGAGAAGAAGAGATGTTATGTAGTCTTGGCAGTTTTCACCCCTAACACACTCTACCAAGCAGCGTTGTCACTCCAGGACAGAAATTGGGTTATTGGCAGGATTACCAGGTTAAAATAAGCAAAAAAGTGAAAATCCTATTGTATTCAGTATAGGCAGTTTAGGTGTACTGGCCACTTGGGAATACAATTTACTCAGTATTCTAAAAACTGAAATGCCAATGTTCTCCCTGGTTCCCCTACTTTAAAGAAAAGATTATATTTGAGTCTGTGTTTTGTTTCTAGGTTCAGCTTAACACAGGGCAGTTGCAGTACATACGTCTTGCGCAGCCTGTATCTGGGACACAGGTGGTGCAGGGGCAGATCCAGACCTTAGCAGCCAATGCTCAGCAGGTAATGTTTCATGTGTTCACTATAGTAATTGTTTTTTTTTTCATGTTCAGTTAGTGAGTCCTGGTGTTGGTAACAGAGAGGCCATTTCTCTTATGTTCGTTGACAGACACAGCATCTTCTTTATCCATGACCAAACAGGGTTTTATAGCCCCACCTACAGGAGTAGGACACTAGGCCAAAAGAAAACTTCAGAACCTCCTATAGAAAGTCTTTTTTGGGCATAAAACCCTCTCTGCTATAGTCATCCTGAAATTATGTATATTATAAATAGGTATGCGCTATATATATAAATATGTGAAATGTACAAGTGCTTAAGAGACTAGTATCACTACATACCCCGAAATAGGACCGTTATAATTGAATTGACCCTCAGGGTAAGTGCTATGTTTCCACAACCTTTACAGAAAACCTATAAACCAAAAAATTATTAAAAGTCTGCAGGTAAATTTGTGTTTAAATAAAGATGGGAGTCCTTTCAATTTCTTTAAACTGTGACCCAAACCAAAAAAGTGACATATCTTCACCACGTGCCAACAGGAAAAAGTAAAGATTGCTCACTCACCAGACCTTTTGACCCTACTTAAGGTGGTCAGATGCACTTTTTGGTCATAGAGGAGACCATCCTTTCAGGAAATATCTCCCCTCTATCAGCTCTCTGTTTATGGCCATAAGTTAAGGAATAGGAACTCCCAACATGCCTCCAATACTTGTATGGTGTTTGATATGGACTAATCCTTGTGTAGATTTGGTGCCAGACCACTCAGAAGGATTATCTGTCTGGTTTATCTGAGTGGTCTGTCACCAAATCTACACAAGGATTAGTCCATATTTTGTATTCTACTGATTTTATACATTTTTTTAATTTATATATACATTTGTCATTTTTTACACAGACAAGAATTTATGCGCTACTTGATAACTGGTTTAAGTGCTCTTTTTTGATGTAGTTATACCACTAGCCTCTTAATATTTATATGTAGCACCTTTTTTAACATATACATATGCACAAGCGTTCATCCACCATATTAGGGGCAGCTTTATATATATATATATACCATTGCGCTTGGAAAGCTTCTGTTTGGTGCAAATCTCTGGGGTTTCATCCTTGCTCATTCTCAATGGTTTGGGTGTGGCGTTCCTCCAGCGTGGCCTGGATCAAAAGTTGGCCTTGAGCATGATCAAGGGTCAAGTCTCTGCTTTGGCTGTTTACTTTCAGTGTCCCTTGGCCATGCATGCTATAGTTCACACCTTCATTCAGGGGGGTTCGTCATGTGGTGCCTCCTGTACGCTCCCTGTTGCCACCATGGGGCTTAAATTCGGTGCTGTCCGTTCTTTAGCACCCTCCCTTTGAGATTATTCGGGATATTCACTTACTGAATCCTTCATAGAAAGTTGCCTTCCTGGTCGCTATCACTTTGGCTTGAAGGGTATACTTGGCTGACTTGTCCTGTAGGCTGCCTTATCTGGTTTTGCACACGGATTAGGTGGTGCTTCGACCCTCCCCTTCTTTTCGGCCAAATGTTGTCAGATTCCCATTTAAATAATATTGTCTGTGTCCTTGGCCGACGCACCCTAAGGATTTGGCTCTGCACTCCCTGGATGTGGTTCACGCAATTCACGCGTACCTTTCTGTGACGGCTGCCTTTTCGAGGCCTGATGGCCTCTTCTGCCATTGCCTGTTTGATTCGGCAGGCGTATGCTGTTAAGGGGAGGGAGCCCCCTTACCTGTCACGGCAAACTCCAGCAAGGCGGTTAGTTCCTCCTGGGTGTTCCAACATCAGGTGTCTGCTTCTCTAGTTTGCAAAGTGGCAACCTGGTCATCTGTGCACATAAGCTAGTTTATTTACAAAGTTCTATAAGCTTGATGTGTTGGCATCTTCCGATGCTAGTTTTGGCCACACTGTTTTCCAGGCTGAAGTTTGTTTCCAGGGCACCCCTTTTGATGGTTTGGAGTGTTTGCATGTTGCCCTGGGTTTGGTCCATTGGTTGCTTTTGTCCTCACCTCATTATGGCACTGGTTGGGGACATCCTTGTTTGGTTATGGATAAAGAAGATGCTGTGTCCATCAGTGAACATAAGAGAAAACCGTATAAAATCTTTCTCTGAGTTCATTGATGGACACAGCACCCACCCCTCTATGGAGTTTTCTCTTTTGACACTGCTTGAGACTGACTGGAGGCCTATAAAAAAGGTTTTTTTTTTTTGCCCAGAGAGGACTGCCGAAGTGTGTTTTTTTTTTTTTTTTTTTTTTTTTTTTTCTCTGCCTAGTGTCCTACTTCTGTAGGTGGAGCTATAAAACACTGGTTATGGATAAAGATGATGCTGTGTCTGTCAGTTAATTCAGAGAAAGGGATTTTATGCTGACAAAAAATCCCATTTTTTTTTTTCATGCCAAACTTTAGTTACATTATTAATAAATATGTCTCCAAATGAATAATTTCTGTATAACATCAGGGGCAAACATGGATTCTGTCAGGAGAGAGTGATCCAAATTCATTTTGGCTGCCCTAGGCCTAAATAGCCAAAGCATTAGACCTATTTTCAAATGAAGCTCATGGTGGGGGGAGTTTTTCTACTATTGGAGGAGAAAATCTGGAGCAGCTGTGCATAGCAGCCAATTAAATGACTTGTATTTTTAGCTTGTTCACTTACAGGCAGGTTATTACAGTCTAATTTTTTTTAACTTAAGGTTATGTTCCGTGCACAGAACGGTCCCTTACCTCCTCTCTGTCAGTCCCCCACTCATGCTGTTGCCTCCTTAGCAAACCTTGCTATGGGGGCATCTGTGCAAGCACACTCCCGACCTAGGCTGTCTGCATTCATAAACGCACACAGCTCCAGTGGGCCATGCCCCCTTTTTTCAGGAATTTAAATGACAGCCCCGGGAGCCCATGGCTCTCACTGCTCTCCGTGTCTCCTGTGAAACCAGGAAGAAATGAGTGGTGCTGCAGCCAGGACAGCCTGCATCAGGAGCAATGAGAGTTGCCAGGTAAGTGTGTGTTGGGGGGTTAGTGGGATGCTTTTTCCTTTTTAATGCAGGGAATGCTTTAAGGCTTAACAGTTTGGCTTTAGAACCACTTTAAGTTTTCAAAATGAAAGCTTGAAACTGGTTACTGCACAGAGCTGCTCCAGTCTTAGTAAACTTTCATCATTATGTCTCCTCAAATTGGCTGTTTTTCTCAAGCAGCAAACAGCTGGTCTCATTCAAGACTAAAGTGATTTGATTCATTAGATGTGTCAATGCTGAGGCCATAGACAACATAATAATAGGTGCTGTCGGTTATTGGCTAGATTAAGTAGTGATTATGCCATTAGTGGGTGAATATTCCTGGTTTGATAACGCAGATGATATTCATGTTTGAAATATAACCAATCATGATAGTCTGACAATCAGTCCATATCCTTCCTAGGAGATAATAGCAAGCATAGTCGAAAATTTCCTTATCACAGACATTTTGTAGCTTGGAATTTCTGACTGGTTTACCATTTGCGTGCACAACAGAAATTAGGAGGTTCATCAGGTGTACAACACCAACACCCCAGTTAAGCTGAGCTGTAAGGTAGGACTGGAAGAAGGGGGGGGGGGGGGGGAGAATTTGCACACTGATGTATTGGAAGGGCAGGTTGTGCTGTTATGACGGGCTTATATGTAAAGCGTAGACTACTATGCTATAACATAACAGGGTTGCATTGTAAGGGGGGATGCAATGTGAAGAGTGCTGAGATGTAAAAATGGGTGACTACGATGCAAAGGGGGCTTTGATATGAAGGAGGTGTTGTGAGGTAAAGAGGGAAGCAATGTAATGGGCGTAATGTAAAGGATTGCACCGTGATGTAAATATGGGGATTGTGATGTAAAGGGGGGGGCTGCATAATGGCACAATCGTGTCATTTGGTCCTCTGCTGGAAGAAAATTTTATTAAGTGGCCTCTGGGAATTTTAATTCTTGCTTTAAGCCTACCTGCCTATCACATTTCCTACTGACTATAGCACCCAAATACTTACCTGTGACCCAGGGAGAACTGTCCCATGTCCCACTGGTTCTCTAATTCCCCTGTAGTGTCTAACACCACTGCTAAGGGACAAGAAATTGTGAGAATCATAAATTGTTTACTTAGGCAGGGGACAGCCAACCAATGTTTGTCTCTGTCCCTTAGCCTCTACATTTCATCCTCACTGTTACCACTTCCTGTTCAATGGAAACTCCCGACTAATTTATTGTTTATGTTTTTATTCTTCTCACCCTCAGATTGCACAAGCAGATGTCCAGCAAGGCCAGCAGCAGTTCAGTCAGTTCACTGATGGACAGGTTAGATGATTTCGGTATAGAAAAATACAATGTAATCTTTTTTTTCTTTTTTACATTTTATTATAAAATGTCTTTACTCTTTCCAGCAACTATACCAGATCCAGCAAGTTACCATGCCAGCCGGACAGGACATCACACAGCCCTTGTTCATCCAGTCAAGCGGGCAAACATCTGATGGATCAGCCACACAGGTCTCGGGAGACTGATAAAATATCCAGAGAAGGAATGGGCAGTGGGAAGCACAGGAGCACACAAACACCTATACATAAACATGTACACGTATGTGTTTCTCTCTCCAGAGATACACAATGCACTAATGGGACTAGAGTTCTCCAGTCATGCTGAAATGGTATGATTATGGAAACTTTTATCTGGTGCGTTGTCCAGATGTTTTGTTTTTGAAACGTATACACTAGTGTGCCCAGCAGAGAAGTGGTTTGTATGTAAGCTCTTCGTTGAAATCTCCATTTTACTGCTGGTGATTGGTTGTAGGATTATCCAGGGGCAACAGACTATCAAATGCAGAATTTCTCTGTCCCTGGAATGTTTTCCATAAAATGACTGGTCAAACACTTGTGCAATGATTCAGTGGGGTTCCACAAGGCATCCTTTCTGCAAGGGCTAAAGTGTTCACCTTACCATGTAGATGAGTGGCAGGACATGTCCTTCATTTCATCTGTACCCAAACCTAGCTGTTTTTATATTTCTGTTCATTTTTGTTTACACTCAATCCTGCCTCCTTTTTTTCTTTTGGCAAAAAGGGCCATTAGCCCTTTTGACTTCCAAAAACTCAAGCACCCCTGTTCCAGTCCTCTGTGATCCATTATCAATAAGCACAGAGGGCTAAGGTTTTGTTTTTTTTTTTTTGGGGTTTTTTTTTTTTTTCTGTTTTTTAATTATTGTGCTTGTCTGCATTGAATGCATGTAAAAATCTCTGCACAGACAGCAATAAATTTCTTTTTAGATACAATTCTTGTTGATGTGTTTTTTTTTTTTTTTAAAGCATAATTTACATAACCAATGAAGACCACTACTTCTAAGGATGTTTATTCTACTAAGAATAACGTATTTGTGTTATGTTAAAAACCTGTGATGAGAGAAATCTGTTGGGTGCCATCACTGCACAGTGTCATGGATAGATATCTGAATGTATTTACAGTATAAATCAACAAATCGAAAATGCAGCGCAACTATATAAATACAAAATATAGTGCTAAACAATAAATACGTGCAAAAAAGAAACTACTATGCTTGCGAGAATCAATGTGTGCTATACCAGACGTCTAATCAATACATGCATATACGAATCCATAGAACTGCACATAACCAGTGTTCTACATGAATTGTGCACACAGATATCAAATAATTGTCCTTAATAGTGAACTGCCCCTTTAAATCTTGAATATCAGCACGTGGACTTGTGTGGTATATATCCCATAAATCGTGATCCACACACACCAACTAGAAGTGTCATTAGAATATAGTCTCAAAAATTGGTGAACCGTCCATTTACAGTGTAAACTTTTCAAACATGGTGCTTAACCTCAACCACTAAGTGTTTAGTCTGTTGGATGACCAGTGTTGCATCATACCACAAGTTACACTCTTTTACTGTCATTTCTACTTAGAGCCCTTTATGAGGTACTCAGCCACTTCCTCCTACCATTTTGCCCAAGGACTTCACTATAGAACAGTCTGCACACAGGTTGTTGCACTTTTCCTTCCAGACAGGCTTACCTTGGATTCTGCACCCTACTTTGAGTACCCCCTAGGGAGTTACCCTCACTCATAGAAATAGGAGGAACCACAGCAAAAAAACAAGGCAAACCACCTAATTGACTAAATGGTTAGCACTTCTGCCTGGAATCACTAGGGTCATTGGTTTCAATCACAACCATAGCACCACCTGCCTGGAGTTTGCATGTTCTCCCTGTGCCTGTGTGGGTTTCCTCCCACACTCAAAAGTCATGCTGCTAGGTTAATTGGCTCTAGTACGGGTATGTATGAATGTGAGTTACGGATCTTAGATTGTATGTTCTTGAGGGTTAGGGACTGATGTAAGTGTGTGTGTAATAAATATAAATTACACATTCATTCATTCATTGAACACATCACCATTTTTCTTGGTAAATATATTTCTGACAATCCATGCATACACAGAAACCAAAATAAGTAAGTTCAGAAATTAAGTTATGTGTAATAAAATGGAATGACACAGGGAAAAAGTATTGACCACATTAAGAAAGGGAGGTGAAAAAAGGTATGGAAAGCCAAGACGCCAGCTGAAATCTATCAGCAATTAGAAAGCAATTCTGCCCCTTGTCAGTGCAAATTAATATCCTTTGGTTCAGTCTCAACTGATGGCCTATAAAAAGGTGTCTCATTACCAAGGTGTCACACGTGAGCAAAGAGCTCCCTCAAGACCTTCGCAACCGTATTGTTGCAAAACATACTGATGGCATTGATTACAGAAGGATTTCTAAACTTCTGAATCTTCCAGTGAGCACTGTTTAGGCCATAATCCAGAAGTGGAAAGAACATCATCATTTCACCATAAACCGGCCATGAACAGGTGCTCCTCGCACGATTTCCGACGAGTGAAAAGAATAATCAGAAGCGTTGTCCAAGTGCCAAGGAACACTTGTGGAGATCTTCAGAAAGACCAGGAATTAGCAAGTACAATTGTTTCAAAGAAAATCATATGTAATGCACTCAACCACCATGGCCAAGCTTACCATGCAAGACTTAATTGCTGAACAAACCGCATGTTGAAGCTCCTTTTAAGGTTTGCTACACAACATTTAGACAAGCCTGTGAAATACTGGGAGAATATACTCTGGTCAGATGAGACCAAAACTGAACTCTGGATGCCATAAAACACACCATGTTTGGAGGTCAAATGGCACTGCACATCACCCCAAAAAAACACCATACCAACCGTAAAGTTTGGAGGTGGGAACATCATGGTGTGGGGCAGTTTTTCAGCATACGGTACTGGCAGACTTCATATCGTTGAAGGAAGGATGAATGGAAAAATGTACCAAGACATTCTTGATAAAAATCTGCTGACATCTACCAGGATGATGAAGATGAAACGAAGGTGGACATTTCAGCAAGATAATGATCCCAAACACAAAGCCGAGGAAACTCAATTTGTTTCAAGGAAAGAAAACAAAGTTTCTAAAATGGCCCAGCCAATCGCCTGACTTGAATCCAATAGAAAATTTATGGAAAGAACTAAAGACCAGAGTTCATGGAACCTCACGGAACCTTCAAGATGTGAAGACTGTTTGGAATAATGGGCCAAAATCTCACCTGAGTAATGCATGCGACTAGTATCTCCATACAAGAAACGTCTTAAAGCTGTCATTACCAATGAAGGATTTTGTACGAAGTAATAAATAAATTTCAGTTAGCGTGTTCAATACTTTTCCCCTGTTCATTCCATTTTATTACACAAAATGTAATTTCCGAACTTATATGTTTTGTGTTCTTTGTATGGATTGCATGGGCTGTTACGTGTAAATTTCTTGTCCTTTAGAAATATATTTACTGAAAAAAATGTATTCAATACTTATTTTACCTGGTGTGTGTGTATGTATGTATGCATGTATATATGTGTATATATGTAAATAACACTTTAATCAGAGTATAGCATCAAGTCATTTAAACTCCTGAGATATGGATCTGGTCAGTTAACCACTTGCCAACCACTCTGTAGCCGAATGACTGCTACAGTGCGGTTATCCAGTTCTGGGAGGGCGTCATATGACGTCCTCGCAGAACACGCACCCCCAGCAGCGTGCACATAGCGATCTCTGTGATCACTGTGTCCTACAGACACAGCTAATCACATGGTGTGGTAAAAGGCCAATCACAGCGGCCTTTTACCATGTGATCAGCTGTATCCAATGACACTGCAGATCACCGGGTAAATGCAGTTGACCAGCAGTGCCACCCATCAGTGCTGCCACATCAATGCACATCAGTGGAGAAAAATTCACCTGTTTGCAAAATTTTATAATAGAAACAAAGAAACTATTTTTTTTTATTTTAATTGCTTTATATAAAATAACACCCAGTGGTGATAAAATACCACCAAAAGAAAGCTCTATTTGTGTGAAAAAAAGATAAAAATTTCATATGGGTACAATGTTGCATGACTGCCCAATTGTCGTTCAAAGTGCGACAGCGCTGAAAGCTGAAAATTGGCCTGGGCAGGAAGGGGGTATAAGTGGTTAAGTAGCAAAGGGGGTTGTTAATCAGTTTCAGCTGCTTTTGGTGTTAATGAAATAAACAGGTGCACTAGATGGGCAGTAATGAGACAACCCCACAAAACAGGAATGGTTTTACAGGTGAAGGCCCCTGAAATTTTTTTCCTACTATTTTCTCACTGTTTTTTTCACTAGTTTTGCATTTGTCTATGGTCAGTGTCACTACTGGTAGCATGAGATGATACCTGAACCCTACAGAGGTTGCACATGCAGTCCAACTCCCCAGAATGGCACATCAATACGTGCCATTGCCAGAAGGATTGCTGTGTCTCCCAGTCTCAAGAGCATGGAGGATATTCCAGGAGACAGGAAGAGCTGGACAGGGCCTTAACCCATCAGTAGGACTGGTATCTGTTCCTTTGTGCAAAGAAGAACTGGAAGAGCACTGCTAGAGCCTTGCAAGATGACCTCCAGCAGGCCACTGGTGTTAGTCTCTGACCAAACAAACAGACTTCATGAGGGTGGCCTGTGGGCCCTGTGCTCACTGCCCGGTACCTTAGAGCTTGATTGGCATTTTCCATTGAACAACAGAATTGGCAGGTCTGCCACTGGCGCCCTGTGCTTTTCACAGATGAGAGCAGGTTCACTCTGATAGACGTAAAAGGGTCTGGAGAAGCCGTGGAGAATGTTATACTGCGTTTAACATCGTTCAGCATGACTGTTTTGATGGTAGGTCAGTGATGGTCTGGGGAGGCATATCTATGGAGGGATGCACAGACCTCTACAGGCTAGACAATGGCACCCTGACTGCCATCCGGTATCAGGATGAAATCCTTGAACCCATTGTCAGACCCTAGGATGGTGCAGTGGGTCCTGGGTTCCTCCTGGTGCATGACAATGCCCGGCCTCATGTGGCGAGAGTATGCAGGCAGTTCCTGGAGGATGAAGGAATTGATACCATTGAATGACCCCCACGCTCACCTGCCCCAAATCCAATAAAACACTGCTGGGCTATCGTGTTTCGGTCCATCCGATGACGCCAGGTTGCACCTCAGACTGTCTATGAATTCAGTGACGCCATGGTCCAGATCTGGGAAGAAATACCCCAGGACACCATCCGTCTTCTCATTAAGCGCATGAACAGAAGATGTAATTGGCGCAAGAGAGGTGGTGGTGGGTATAGAGTTCACACAGAAAGTCTTAGGCGATATAAAAATAGTTCAGTTTTAAAAAATGAAATAAAACAGGAGGTGGGGCATATGATTATATATAATGTAATGGGAGTACAGGGTGGATTGTGCAGCTTGAGTAGTAAGAGGAGGGGGGAAGAAGACTTGTAGTACAGACAGTACTAGGTTGGAATAGATGGTGTGTATACATACATATGTGTGTGTGTGTGTGTGTGTGTATGTATATATTGCAATGTAGACACCGTCATGAGGCTTGCACTCTCTAGAGTAAACCGGACTCTGTAGTAGAGGAAAGAGAGACGTGCGCCAGACTAAGTGCAGTAAAATCATAACAGTTTATTGCACACAAGATATTAAAAACTCACAGGACGTGGGTAAATATCAGGTGTAAGAAGGAGGACGTCATCTGAGCTGCACATCACGGGCGGATGGCTGCAGTGCCAGGGTATTCACAATGGCTGGCGCTCAAGGGACGACTCCCAGCAACATCTTGACGTCTTCTGCTCGGCGGCCATCTTGGATGCGCCTCAAGCTGGCCCCATCACCCACACTGATGTGAGAGACCAGCAGCGCCCGCCCTGAGCACGGTTCTTCTCTGCACCGCGACTTCCGGTAACTGCGCCTGCCGTCCTCGCTCCTTCCTGTGGGACCCGCCT